TCTTGCCTTCCAATCTCCATGCAAGTGAGCCAAAAGCCTTTTAACTGCCAGGTGGCCTTTTTATGTGGAACCATGCCACTCTCTGACCTTCCCTTTGACTGTTAGAAAGAGACTTGTGGCCTCCCAGTGTCCTAACTCTTTCCATCACCTGGAACTATTTTTACCTCAATGTTCTAAAGACTGAATAGAAAAAAAGACAGTAATTTCCAAAGTTATTAGGATATAGGCTAAATATTCAAGGATTGTCATGGCTGGTGATTGCTGAAACATTGAAGGGAAAATGTTAAAGTTGGATTTTGCTGGTCACCTCAACAGTTACCCAAGGATGTATTTTGGTTGCTTGCTTGGAGGTAGTATGTGCAAGTGTAGTCCTGCAAAGCACTGAATATGCTCTAGTTTTATGTGTAGTGGCTGATGTCACATAGAACTTTGCTTTTTTTTTCCCAGCAACTTCCACTGCATATATTGGTTTAATTGCAAGAAAAGCAAGCCTGATAGCTCTGTTAAATCTTTTTGAGCCTTTGTTTGTTATGACAATTTATGTACCATTTAAAAATAATATTTCTGAAACCTGACAGTCAAAAGATACCATGCTGCATAGCAAAAAATAGGTAGAAGGCTTAAAGAAACTACACCTTACTGACAGAAGCCTTACCTCTTAACTGCAGCATTCATGCTGTGGAACATTTGGGAAGGAAGATGGAAAGCAGACTACTGTTTTGACCATGCATATGGGATCTAGCTTGCTGATACATGGTATTCCCCGAAGGATTATTCCATGTAGCAGGAGAATCCCCATTACAGTAACATGATACTCTAATCATCTGAGCTCAGGTTCTTAATTTACCATTCTGCCATCATTGCTACCAATGTATCTGTCTACTTGTTTGGAATCAGAATTAAGATGTACAATAACTCATGTTAGAAGTGGAATTTAAGATGTATTTAAAAAAATATTTGTGGTTAGCTGCTCCATCTTATGCTCTTATTTTTCTCTTGGCTGCTTAGGGTTTGAATGCAGTGTTTGATGCACTGGTCATTAACAAGCTAAATGTTTTGGAGCTTATTCAAAAGTTACTACATAAGGACAAGTCATTGGAGGTGAGTCCTTAGACATTTTGTTCATTCTGGCCATTCAGACAGTCATGTACTAAAAGACAAAGCTACAACTTCTGACAGTTTTGTTGCTGTTGAGAATTAAAAAAAATAGGTATTTTCAGTCAGCCTAGTAAGGCAATGTGCTATAACATTTTTGCAGCAACATGAGGAGTAATGGGATAGCATTAGACTTGCATTGGATAGAGAAACCCATTCCGCACTTCTCTCAAAAGTACGTTAAAAATACAGGGTGGAAGAGCTGACTGCTTGATGCAGCAAGTTCTCCAGGGTCAGTAGCTATACACTATACACCTGAAATGGAGGTTTAACACAGTTAACAGAGTAAAGAGAGAGATACTTGTTCAGATTCTCAAACGAGATAGATATTTGGAAAAGTACATAAAAATTGTTATGGCTATTTTGCTAATCCCACTTAAGTATTACACTGTTATACAAATTACCAAACAGGAGACAGTTCCTAGTAGCTTGGGAGTTTGAAAGAAAAAATATGTAAGCATTGATAGTTGCTAAGGATCAAATTTCTGACTTTTGTTGATATCACTTTATCTAGTATTGGCTCAAGTGGAATCTGGCACCTTGTATTTGCACTGGCAAGCAAATCACAAAACAATTAGCCTCACATGAAAGATTGATAGCAGCCAAATAGACCAACAGCCTACTAGGACATCATTACTGTTCAACAGATAAATCATTTACCTCTTCCATCCAAGGTTTAGCAAGGCGAAGGAATATTCATTGTACTTTGCATTGATCAGTGGTCTTGCTCATGTTTCTGAGTAGCAAGTCTTATGGGGCATTTAAATTCCTTCACAAAGAGTGAAATGAGGAGCTTCAGGGGGGAAATACAGTTAAACTGGAATCTCTAGAACTGAAACAGTATATTTGACCAAGAATCACTAAGTGAGGGGTGCAGAAGTATTTCAGGCAGCAAATAGGAATGCTGGAGAATTTTGTTGTATAGTGAGAGTGATGTCAACTAGCATATGACTAGGAAAGAGTCCAGAGCTGTTGGGGACTAAAGTACAGCCAGTTCAGAATTAAAGTGATGGAAATAAAAGGTAATAAGGAGAACCCTGGGAACTACTGCCCAGGCAGCCTCACATCACTTCCTTCGAAGATCATGGAACAGATCCTCCTGGAACTTATGTCAAAACATATGAAAGACAGGGAGGTCATTAGAGATAGCCAGCATGGCTTTACCAAGGGCAGATCATGCCTGACTAATCTAGTGGCCTTCTACAATGGAGTGACAGTATCAGTATACAAGAGAAGAGCTATTGATGTCATCTACCGGGATTTGTGTAAGGCCTTTGATATGGTTCCCCACAACATTCTTGCTGCTAAAATGGAGAGAGATGGGTTTGACTGGTGGACTGTTAGATGGATAAGGAATTGGCTGGGTGGCTGCATCCAAAGAATTACAGTGAAAAGCTCAATGATCAAGTGGAAACCATAACAAGTGTTGTCCCTCAGGGGTCCATACTTGGACCAATACTATTTAATATCTTCATCAATGACATAGCGGAACTGAGTGTACCCTTAGCAAGTTTGCAGATGGCACCAAGCTGAGTGGTGCAGTTGATACTCTTTAGGGAAGGGATGCCATCCAGAGGGACCTTGGCAAGCTTGAGAAGTGCACCCTTGTTAACCTCATGAAATTCCACAAGACCAAGTGCAAGGTCCTGCACATGGGTCGGGGCAATCTCCAACATCAATACAGTCTGGGTGATGAAGGGATTGAGAGCAGCTCTGCAGAGAAAGACTTGGGGATATTTGTGGATGAAAAATTGGATATGAGCCTGCAATGTGCGCTTGCAGCCCAGAAAGTGAATTGTATCTTGGGCTACATAAAAAGGAGCATGGCCGACAGGTCGAGGGAGGTGATTCTCCCCCTCTGCTACACTCTCATGAGACCCCACCTGGAGTACTGCATCCAGCTCTGGGTTGATAAAAGACATGGGCCTGTTAGAGCGGGTCCAGAGGAGGGTGATGAAATGATCAGAGGTTTGGAATACCTCTTCTGTGAAGAAAGGCTGAGAGAGTTGGGCTTGTTTAGCCTGGAGAAGAGAAGGCTCTGGGGAGACCTTATTGTGGCCTTTCAATATATAAAAGGGGCTTATAAGAAAGATGAAGAAGTACTTTTTACTGGAGCCTGTGGTGGGGAGGACAAGGGACAATGGTTTTAAACTGAAAGAGGGCAGACTTAGATTGGGCAGAAGGAATAAATACCTTACGATGAGGATGGTGAGACACTGGAACGGGTTTCCCAGGGAAGTTGTGGCATCCCCCTCCCTGGCAGTGTTCGAGACCAGGTTGGATGGGACTTTGGGCAACGTGGTCTAGTGGAGGGTGTCCCTGCCGATGGCAGGGGGATTGGAACTAGATGATCTTTAAGGTCCCTTCCAACCCAAACCATTCTATGATTCTGTGAAATGTGTCAGAGTCAAAACTTTTTGGGGGATTACTCTTTAAGCATGAAGAGCTCAAAGCATTATGCTTCCGTTTTGTGACTTTTAAACAGTTCTGTCTGGGTGAAGAAAACATCAAATGTGCCTTTTTTTTCTTCTTCTTTTAATAGAAGAAATTAATTTTAGCTCCTACCACCTACAAAAATCTGTTCTGCTCTTTTCATGGAAGTGTATCTACAATTTTTTTTGTTTTGTTTTGTTGAAAGGCAGATCTTAAATTCTCTTACTTGCAGATTATTTTTTTCTTAATTGAGACAGGTTTCAGTTTCATGCCAGGTTTCAGTTAACTCTAAATCAAAGACAATACAATAATACTTCTTCCACTTTTTAAATTCTGCCTACAAAGAGATTTTGTGGTGATTTGTGAAATCTGGCCTTTAAGAAGCTGTACATACTGTTAAATGAAATGAAGCCTGGGATGAAAGGTTTTGTGTAGTTACTCTGTCATAAAGCAGTTATAAATTGTCACTATATGGTTTTCCTTCATAGCGCAATACTCTTCCAAAACCAGTTTTTAGGAGTTGTTTTCCTGTAATCCTCATTGTAGTGACTTTGGTTACTGAGATTTGTAAATTAGAAGTAACCATTTGAGCACAAAGGCTAACTTATGTAAAATTCACATTACAAACTTATTTATCCTTAGGCATTCAGCTAAATATTGCATAATGACTCCATTGTCAACTACAAATACTAAAACCCCATCTGAATATTGCTTTTAAACTTTCCTATCATTTTAGAGAATAAATACCTTCAGCCAGAGCACTGTTAGATGTCTGTCTTTGTGCAGTAATTCTACTTCTTTTTTTTTTTTTTTTTTTTAGTCTTAAGAAATAACTAGTATTGATCACCTAAATAATTATGGTGCTGCTTGCTAATCAGCGTATTGCAATAATAGGTAATAATAATAATCAGTGTGCCAGCTCCTGTGGAGGATGTAGAACTGATCATGTATAACTATTAGGTAGGTTTTTAAAGGTAATAGAAGCATATCAGACTAAGGGAGGAAGGTAGGAGTAAAGGAGAACTAATACTGGAGATCACATGACCGTATTTTTTAGGATTCAGTCAACTTTTCCATGTAAAAATCCATAGTTTACTGACACTTTCATCTTCAGATGTGTAGAATGGAAATGGAAGTGGCCCAAATGATCTCTCATTTCAGAGAAACTCTTGTCTCCAGTCTTCTGCTTCTTTAATGATGTCTTGAGGCTGTAAAAAATCATTTCAGCCATCACGTTTCAGACAGCTCTAAGGCAGCCCTACCGCACTGTAATAGAGGGGGTCAGAGAGAAGCTATGCCCTTCATTTCCTATCTGAGTTACCATTTGCTAGCTGGGTAGGTGTTGGAAGCTTGGATTTGCATCTCAAAGCTGCGACAGGGATATCATTATAGTTACTGATAATTCTGTTTCCAGTCTCTACTGGTGAAGCTTGAACAACCTCTACAGTATACAGTGTTTTTCTTTTCATTTATGAAACTGATGTGTGCTTGGACAAAATGTGTTATGCTTCACAGGGAAAAAAAAAAAAAATGGGAAAGTCTATCAAATTTAGCTTCTATGACATCACTTCTCTATGTTTTATGTGAATTGCCTTCTTTAGTCCCCAAAGTGTATATTTTAAAATGTGATGTAAATCAACTGAGTTAATGTAGATAAAACACAATTTTTTTTAGATCTTGAGTAATTTTACCCTGACCAAAGTGATTTGGGTGCCTGTCTGTCATTAGCTTTTTAATCATGATAGTGATTGTAAAAATTTTAATTCAGTTTCTCATTCCTCCCCATTTCTAACTACGCAGTTTTCTTGTTGTATGTGGTCATGTAAGTTTACCTTTAAAGAGACTTAAGTTGACAAAAACTTTCAGTGATAAGAGATCAACAAAGTTCACAAAGTAACCACCCTGCATTTTAAAAAGAAAAGGTAGATCAATTTAATATGCCATATACTAGAGGCTGTATTCTGCTCAAATTCCCTATCAGAAATTGCTGTGTAAAATCACATCAGCTATAGAGTTACTGAGGATTTGTAGAGGAAAGAATTCTTGAATAAAAAAGTTTTCTGATTGAGAAGGAAATGAAAATGTTTGCAAAACATTTTGCAAGTAGTCAGTGAAAGCATGGGAAAGTTTGAGAGCTTTCTAGTAACTACAAAAATAAGAAAAATGTCAACTCTAATAGCAAAATTGCACAGGAATAGCCTCTTCTTTCTGAGACGGTGGTGAAAAGGATGTGAATGTAGTGGGGAAGAGAACAAAATAATGGTTTTATATGAGGGTTTTTTTCTCTTGCTTTCCTGCAGAATGCTGGGCTGTTAAGAAAGGGGCTGCTTTTCAGGATAACTCTTCTGATGTCTGGAGGGGCCACTATACTTTATGTACGCTGGAGGATTATGGGCACAGGGCCACCAGCTTTCACTGAAGTAGACAACCCAGCTTCATTTGCAGACAGTCTGTTTGTAAGAGTAAGTTATGAAGCTGTTTTCTTCTGGCCAGCTCAGAACATTTGTCTTTGTCATCAAATTGAATTTTCTTTTCTGTACCTGAAAGAAACAATAAAGTGGGCAGTCTTTACATTTCAGGGTGTGTGATGAGTAACCTTCCCTTATGCTGCTGTGATGATTTTCTGCAATTTTTTAAAATAGTGTACCTTGTATATTCTTTGCATTCAATTTAGCATGCACTGTACACATTGAACTACATTTCCATTTACTCGCTACTTTTCCCATGCATGCAAGGATTTAGCTTTTGCTGGGTTTCATCCCTTTTCCACATACTGTGTTTGACTCTTCATCTGTTCTTTCACAATTGAAGAAAATATTATGAAGTTCTGGTCTGCTGCATTTGGAGTATGTCTTGGCTTTATACCTCTGACTGCATTAAGGCTCTTTCTGGAGATAAAGAATGAAGGGGAAAAGACAGTGGGTGCTGCCTTTTGATATTTTCTTCCATTGTAGAAGATTTTTATTTATTTTTTTTTTAACATGTGGATATTGGTTGGACAGCACAGAATTGCATTGCCCTGCTCTGAATAGGAGACCCAGCTAGCTATGTTTAAAAAAATTACAAATTAATTTCACAGCTGTAAAATAAATGGATATGTAGTCTAACATTTAAGGCCTTTTTATTGTATAAGATATATTTTGTGATAAGGGAAATGATAGCCAAGAGAAGAATTAAAGCTGCCCCCCCTTTAAGTTTAGTATCAAATAAATGTTTGTTTTCTTTTTGACTGACAGGCTATAAACTATAATTACTACTATTCATTGAATGCATGGTTGCTGTTGTGTCCCTGGTGGCTGTGTTTTGATTGGTCAATGGGCTGCATACCCCTCATTAAATCCGTCAGCGACTGGAGGATAATTGCACTAGCAGCACTTTGGTTCTGCCTAATTGGTCTGATATGCCAAGCTCTGTGCTCAGAAGACAGCCATAAGAGAAGGTAAGAGACAGTCATGAATTTTAAATGCCCGGCCAACTTGGGTACAGTATTATTTTGTTAAATCCACTACTGATAATTTTAACAATTCACTGGAACCAGTGTCTAACAAATGCAGTTCAAATAAATATTTATAGCTGTCATTACAGTTTTATCCCAATTTGAGCCCATCACTGTACACTGACTAGTAGGAAACAGAGTTGGAGGAGGAGGTATGGATGGCTGCTTTATTCTTCTCCTGAAATGGCATTTTGAGATCCTTAACACTGTAGGTGGTAAAAAGTAATCTGTGCTCAGAAGAGAGTAGGAATTGATGTATGTTGTTGCCCCTGCTTCTTACAAGTCATCATCCCCTTTAATCTTCTCCTAATAATGAAAGAGAGAGGAGATGTGCCTTGAAAGGAGGTAGAAATGCTGGTCATGGCCATACAGTTTAAAAAATAAAATGGTGATCCATAGCATCTACTGAGAAGAAAACTTGTACTTTACCCAGAGGAAGTAAAAAAAATTTATTGTTGACTATTCTGTCTTACTAAGGGCTTCTGTTTAATTTTTCAGCATCTGTTCCCATGGATTTTATGTATAATTAATTTCTCAGTTCTTTTTAAAAATTTTCAACAGCTCAATCACAACAAGGTCATTCTGTTGTTCAGAGTACTGAATATTTTTCTCTTCTGTGGTATTCTGTAATTTCATCTCTTCTCCCTCATCCCTTCAAATGTTAACATCCCATGTGCCTTCCTTTCCACTGTTCCCATACTCATTTGCACAGATAAAATCATTTTGGAGAGGGGTGGAATTCTTGCTACAAGTGATGTAATACTTTCTAGTGAAAACACACTAAGCCTATATTGCTTAACAGTTTTATAGTAAAAAGTAAAGACAAAAAGTATAGTGAAGGCCTAGGACTCTTGGGGGTGAGAAAGAGTAAGAGGACACATCTACATTACAGTATAGAGATTTATTTGTAATATATTAGAGTAGAACACTGCTGTGCCTGTGGCCTTTATAACAAACACCTGACGCACACCTGGGATTCATATTCCCTTATGTCGGCTCTGTAAAAGCAAGGTACCTAGTCTCAGTTGTCTAAGCTCTGTATAGTCCAGTTACCTGCTGAGCATTACTCATCCTAACACAGATACCTAAAACAGGGAAGACAAACTGCCCTTGAGAAGTGCCTCGCTCTAACAGTAGAAAGAGCGTAGATGACTAACTTTCAGGTGGTTAAGCACAATGAATTCTACTATTGAGGTATTTATTAGGAAAGAAAATGCTCTCTCAGTGGGACATGTACCTAAGTTTCTTCTTTAACAGTGACCTATATTTTTCCCCTGCTACTGACTTCCTAGTTCCAAAAATAGACAGCTTATACCAGCTTCTACCAATACATAGCTTTTACCATTACTTTTCCTGCCTGTGTGTTTTAAATAGGAATTATGTAATTAATGTCTAATGGGGCTATTTTCTGGTTTGGAAGCATGAACATTGCTTTTCCGGGAATTAGAGCTAGGGTTTTAAAAGTGCCTGATGGAGTGAAGTGTCAAAACCTCACCAAAACTTAATTTGATTTTGTTACATAGCTCCCAAAGGCTGCTTTTGAATGCCCGGTTCCATATGCACATCCTTCTACAATGTGTAAATAAAGTTTGTAAGTGGAAAAAGTACTTTTGTTAAGACTTGTGGTTAATTTGAGAATCTGTTTCTTGCTTGCAGAATTCTTACCCTGGGACTCGGATTTCTTATTATCCCTTTTCTTCCTGCAAGTAACCTGTTCTTCCGAGTAGGATTTGTTATTGCAGAGAGAGTCATCTACCTCCCCAGTATTGGATATTGTATTCTGTTTACATACGGATTTAGTCTCTTGAGTAAGCAAGCCAAGAAAAAGGTACTATCAAAACAGTCAGTAAAGTTGATGATGAAGTGCTTCAATTGAATGGTTTGTTTCTTAACTTGTCTCTCTTTCCTTAAGAAAATTCTTGCTGCGGCAGTACTTGGGATCTTGGTGATAAATGTTATGCGCTGTGCACTCCGCAGCAGTCAGTGGAGGTCAGAAGAACAGCTTTTTAGGAGTGCTCTGTCTGTGTGCCCTCTGAATGCAAAAGTAAGTCATTCATGTGGACTTTTAATCTTTTTTTTTCTTTTTTTTTTTTTTAAGTGTTTTGAAATTCACGGTAGTTGAGGTGTTATGCATAGTTAATATATTGTGGTACAGTGTTATTTGCAGTCTTGCTTGGTGCAAGAATATGACATTGACATGTCAGACACCTAAATTACAGTGGTAGCATAGTCAAAATACCAGACAGTACAAATTACAATATTGTAATTCGGAATTTGAGGATGGGAGTGGGGAGGGGAGGGAGTAGGGGCAATGCACTTCAGGAAAGGCATCCAGTCAGATTGGATGTACTACTAATAAAATCTACTAAAACTATTGTGTGTATAATTGCAAGTTAAAACAAAATATCAAAAAGTAAGTGGTAGCAATGTATGCACCTGAATAATGCCTATGCTATGTTTTTAGAATCCTTTTTGTGTACCTTGCAGTGGTATATAAAGCCAACACAGCTAAGGGACAAAGCAGCATATCTTCAGTGTAACTGCAGGATGTGGGGGTAAAATCTTTGCTCCCACTTCTGCTCTTTTACAGTGGCTGAATGGGCTAAAGTCTTCAGACATGGGCACTGAGGAAAACTGCAGTATTCCCTGCAAGGCTTAGTGAGAGAACAAAGAGGGTGGGACTGGGTAGGATGTTTCACTGAGCTAAGTACTGGTGTTTGGCATAGTAGACTGAATATAGCTTGCCAATAGAGGTGACTGCCACAGCAGTCCTTTGGTAACTGAGAATGTGATCTGTTGGAGCATACCACAGAGCCCTGATGTCTGAATTTTAGCAGAGACTGTCTTTGAAGAGCCTGGGAATAGGAATGCGCAGCTTGTCAATAAAAATACATTGATGTTTGAAAAGCTTAGATTTCTTCAATCTAGAGTGGTATCTAGACAATACAGATCAAGACACAGAGTTTAAAAAGGAACCTGTGAATGCTCAACTTTGCAAAGAGAATGAGAAACTTAGCATCTACAGGAATACAAATACGCAGCAGTGAGCTGTAAAAAGCATACATGGCCAATATTTGCAACATGGTGGTGTCTTTCAATAATCTCAGATTTCAATACATAGAAAAAGAGCCATTGTATTTTATTGCATGGCAGTGAGAGGCAACCGTCTTCTTTTTAATGATGACCTCAGTATATTTTGTCTTCTGGATGACAAGCACATACTATAAATGGAGCAAATGCAATCTGTTTCTTTGTGTGTAACTCCATCCATCTGCCATGGTAAAAGTCCTTTAGACAGATCCACACTCTTTGCCTGTGCTCCAAGCTCCTTGGACTCACGCCACGTCTGGCTGGGAAGCTGCGTAGCTGCGTTCGTACAGTGCTGTGCTTGAGCCGAAAAGCTGCGCACAAGCTACTGAACTAATGCAGCTGGTTCAAAGCCAATGAGCGTACAGGGAAAATGAGCTTGTGTTTGTCAACATTGGGCCGTTGTAGACATGCCTGAGCTGTATTGCTGCTAGCAACAGCTTGCACAAATGGAAAGCATGGTGATGTGAACAGGGAGGGTTTTGCAGTCTCACATTCCAATTTTGCTGAAGGAGTAACTTTGATATCACAGTAGTAGGGAACTTTTCTAGGCAAGAGCATTATAGAATCTGTGTGTGAGAGCCAATTTCTTTTTTTCTTTATGGACTCAGCTATATTTATTCTATTTTGACAAAGACAAATGTAAAAATTTGAACTAGGTTCTGTTCTGATCTTCTGTTGTTGTCTTGAAATTGAAGACTTCCTTTAAAAATGACTCCACAGGACTTTCAGTGGCCCATTTATTTCCGTGGGAGGCTGATGCAGACCAAAATGTGGAATGCAGACAATAGCTTTTTCTTCTTGTTCTTGGAACATCTTTGATGTGTATAACGTTGCTATGCTTTACTTCCCTTATGTAGTAGGGTCCCGGAGTCTCCAGGTGTCTCCCAACTAGCAACAAAACCTGCAGCTCCTAGTCCATGTTTTTGTGGTACAGTTCTTTTCAATTTCAAATTGTCTGTATGTGAGCAGTGTAGAGTAAACTTACCCTAATTCTAAGTAACAAGTAGTTACAGCAGTGCCTTCTCTAATTTCAAGACTCATCTTCTTTAAACATCTCTTTAGATAGAGGTGTGGAAACTGCATTAAATCAGATTGTCTAGCATAGTAGAGAATCTACCCCTTTGAGTGATGGATGCATCTGACTCAATGGGATGAAATTTAGGATCAACTTTGATAAATGTGGCCCAGTGATTATAAAATTTATTGGAAATAATCAGGTACCATAATGAAGTTACAAAGATTTTGACATGTTTAAAGTTCACAATACAGATTTTTAAATGTTTAAAATATTTTAAATTTTATTTTAAATGTTTTTATTTAAAATATTTAGAAT